GTGGCACCTTAGAGACTAACAAATTTATTAGAGCATAAGCTTTGGTGGACTACAGCCCACTTCTTCAGGAAGCTTATGCTTCCACGAAAGCTTATGCTCTAATAAATTTGTTAGTCTCTAAGGTGCCACAAGTACTTCTGTTCTTCTTCTAGCTAACATTTGTAACACACGCTGACTTATTCCCTACCGTTGGGCACCCTGTATAACTTAGGCCTGTGCAAAGTGGATGTAAAATCACAACCAGGTCAGACTTCTCCACTCCCACCAGACTTTTAACATCTTTGCTTGCACAGCTGTAAGCAGCAACACCCTGTGCCGGGCTGTGGGAATCAGGCATTGCCTTCCCCCACTTATCACAGGGTCTGTTTACGGCAGCACGCAAATAACGAAGGCAGAGGGGACAGGCCATGTCAGTGCAAGGTCCAGTCACGATTTCACTGGGACGTCGGCAGCATCACCATGCTGCGCATGCAGGCATCATCAGCAGGCCCTGGCAGGGGTCTCCTCTCCACGGAGCGGGGCACAGCGGAGGGGCGGGGGCTTCCCCCCCGAGCGGGGCGCGACCAAGGGAGGCCCGAGGCGTGATGTTCTAGCCCGGTGTACGCCACGCGTATAGGCCACGCACCTATTCTGAGGCGCGGGGCGACTCTCGCCGGCGCCCCTATGCCAGTGCCTGAGGCTGAGCCGTGTCACGGGCTGCCCAGTGAGGGCCCCAGACGCCACAATAGCCGGTTCTTCCAGACTAGGCGCCCTTCCGTTACCATATCAACCACGGGGCCGTAAAACAGCGACTGCGTCGCAAAACAAACCGGCTAGCGGCGCGAGGGAGCCACGCGACCTCTTAGACTTAAGACCAGCCTCTCTCGGGCGCCGGCTTCTTCTCGCGCGCATATGCGTTAGGGAGCGGGGAGCCGAGCCTAGAAGTAGTTAGACTTAGCTTCCGCGCATGCGCACTTGGCTGGCTTTGGGACTGGAGGAAGATGAAGGGCAGGCCGGTAGACCGCCCCCGAATTACAAAAGGGCCGCGCCCAGCGGGCCGGGCGCTGCCAAGTGAAGGGGGGGGGGTCTTCGTCGGTCCGCCCCATAGTTTAGGGGAAGGGCCCTTATCTCCCCATCCCACGGTGGGGCGGGCTATGGTGGGACCCCACATCCCTCGCCCCCCTTCTGCCCCGCTCCCACAGAGCCTGGCTGTGAGCGGGGGGTGCCCCCTGGCGGTCACCACCGCGTGCGTGTCTGTGCCTGAAACCCCGCCCGAGGCCGCCAGACCCGCGCTCGCGTAGGGAAGGCGTAGTGGCATTGTGGGGTAACGCCGCTCCTAGCCTCATGCCCATGTGTGACGTTGCTGATGATGAGTGCTGTTGCAATAACACCGAAAGGGCTGGCATAAGCCGGCCTGTGTCTAAAGAGCTGGAACAGTATTTATTGACCAGTTGCCTTTTTCAGAGAAATAATTTGTGGATAAAACCAAACAAAAATCTCATCCAGTTACATTTGCTATACAACTGCTGCTTTCTGTGGAGAGCCACTTTACATATCCTTCTGCACAGAGTTCAGGTAAGCTACTATGACCATTGATTCACTTATCAGATAGGCTAAAACCAAAATATACTTTGTTCATTTCTTCCACAGTACACAGAAAGCAATTGTTCCCAGAAACATGTCAAACCTTTTAGTTCATTCTCCAATCTCAACCATCAGCCTCATCTGTGAACTACAGCATTCTGGGTAGCCATATACAGTTGCCAACTTTCACACGGTAAATAAGCACCCAGACTTTCACAATAAGCCAAAAATCAAGCTAATCCCATTTCAAAACAAGCCAATCCCTAAGAACCCCAACACTCTGTGACTAGATCATCCTGGTGTGCAATCTGGGACTGTGGTGGGCCCACTGTGCATCCCTGACTCTCCCCCTCCTCCCCCCGCATGCCCTCCCTTGCTAGGAGCCAATGAAAAAAAAAAAAAGAAGCAACAAGTTACAAGCCCAACAAGCTACAAGCCCAAAACTAGCCAACAAGCAACTCAAGCCAATTAAGCCAAAAGCAAGCCCAATTTCTGCATTTTTGTTTTGTTTTTTTTGGGTTTTGCATATCTGTAGTAATATAAAAATAAGCATATATCAAAGATACCCATTGGCTTCAGAATTCCCACTTGCAACTCTGCTACAAGTTACCTTTAAGCCAGGATAATCATATACCCTTTGGTATCTATTTCACATTCTTAGGACTTATTAGAAGGAATAGAAACTCAGCCTGGTATAAACTTCTGTAAAACTATTTGCACATGTAGCATTTCCTTTTTCTCAAGGATGTGAGTCATAACATTATATGCTAACAATGTATTCCAGTAGAGCTTTTAGTTCATTTTGGATTGCATACAAAAGAAAAACTTCTAAGATTCCACAACATTTAGTTTAATAACAAATTGAAGTTTAGTTTCGTCTCTAGCTTCCACAAACTCATCTCACAAAGTTCTCTTATCAGATACTAGCTCTAGTCCACACCAAAATGTCATATTTCTTTAACACACCTTTTCAAAATAAAAACTCAGCCCTCTGTTATCAGGCAATAATAGTCAGTGGGTGGAGGCGGGGTTGTGGTTATTTACATTAGCCAGTTCCAACTACCCTGAACTGACAGAAATTCCCATGGAAATTCTGGTTACATTAACTTTGACTGAGATATGGGACTGTTTTTGGAAACTTTTAAAAAACATCTAGGGAATACTTTTAACTTTTATTAATATGTGGTATCTGAATTTAGTTTATTAAAGACATAAATCAAAGTTGGCTGCTGCTTAGTTTCAACTGGTTTTCACAAGAGAAAAAAAACAACAAGGAGAGAAGCCAGTCATATATCGGCCAAGTGTCAACCTTGTGAGAAATCCCACAATATGAGAAATCCTGGAGTCCTCAAAAATGAAGGAACGTGAGGTGAATAGTATTAGAATAGGGTGTATCAAAAATGAATGTGTAATTACAGAATTTATTTCAGACTTGGCAATAGCCTTGTGTTCCCAGATATTGCAAGCACATCGGTGAGGAACTCTTAAGGATCATCTACATGCAGAACTCTCATTGGCATCCCATATTAACATAACCACTATGATGCATACACAATTATGTTTTCACCCTATACACTAGCCATCCATCTACATTACATAGCCTTATACATTATACAAATGTGTAAGATTTAATTTTCATGCATTCCAGTATCCCGGTTAGAGCACTGAGTTCCTATTCCCCTTCTCTTCATTCAAACACACTTAAGGCCCAATCCCACAAGTTTCTAAATGACTTCAAGTCCTTTTACATCAAAAGGAGTTGAGGGCACTTGGCACCGCAGAGGATGGCCTGCACTAGAGGCCCAGTGTCAGAACCACTCTCTTTTTGACAGAGGAGTAAACTCATCCCTTTGTAGATCATTTAGTGTTTCTCCTTCATTAGTCCCCCAAATAGAATGTGTTGCCTTCAATCATCCAATTTGCTGCTGGTCCAGTGAGTAGGAGACCAGGACCAACAATCAAACCCAGGTCACCAGCAAGGCAACCCATACATTTCCATGTAATTTTTTTATCCTACAACAAGGGAGATTGTGATAATTAGTTGCATCCACTAGATGTCCACATTTCAGCAAATTTCAGCCGTAACACCTTAAAAGAACACAGCAGTCTCCTGCAGAGCATGTAGAACAATAGTCTATTGAAAAAAGTAAACACAATTTTTCAGCTTACTGGGTTGCTTTTTCACGAATGGGATGGTCAGGCTTTTGGTGTAAAATTGTACATGATTCGACACAGCCAAAAAATAACTCCATTTTTATTATATTTGTAAATTTGGCATCATAAAAGGAAACTTTTTGACCGACAGACTCTTCAAGTACCTAATATCAGTGGTTCTCAACCAGGGGTACGCATACCCCTGGGAGGTACGCAGAGGTCTTTCAGGGGGTACATCAACTCATCTAGATATTTGCCTAGTTTTACAACAGACTACATAAAAAGCACTAGCAAAGTCAATACAAACTAAAATTTCATATAGACAATGACTTGTTTATACTGCTCTATATATTATACACTGAAATGTAAGTGCAATATTTATATTCCAATGGATTTATTTTATAATTATATGGTAAAAATAAGAAAGTAAGCAATTTTTCAGTAAGTATGTGCTATGTCACTTCTGTATTTTTATGTTTGATTTTGTAAGCAAGTACTTTAAGTGAGGTGAAACTTAGGGGTACGCAAGACAAATCAAACTCCTGAAAGGGATACAGTAGTCTGGAAAGGTTGAGAGCCACTGCCTAATACTAACTTACTGATTATATACACACTTCTTATGGTTCTCCATCAGGTGACACACGTACAGTATTAAAGAGCAAGAAAAAAATAGTGGGAAATTGGAAATTATAGTTTTGGTGCTAAATTTACCAAATGGCTTCAGTTTGGCCTCTAATTTTTCCAAATATAGTTCTGTTTGCATTCATTTCAATGAGCACATTTCCACAACTCTGGCACACATTTTTAGAACTCTCATGCACAATGGTTAAGCACATACTTCAGTCATCGCAGCTAGCTTCTAATATTGGTGTGTAACATTTGGCTGGTCATTTGACTGTTTGATTGGTAATGGGAAGAACAATTATACTAGCAAGCATGTAATCATGGTAATTGAGCACACATGCTTTTGCACTCACAATTCTAAAATTGGGCCTGCATGCACAAGTTTCTGGGTCTGATTCTCATTTCCACGGAGGCCCCTTTTCATTGTTCTAGCAGTGCAAGGGGGCCTTAAGGGGAGTGAAAATTACAACATTTACACTCCCTTTTAAAGCATGTTCCTGTCTCCTGCCAAAATAATGTATTTAGAGCTCATGAAAGGTGACAGATCTTCTATTTATCTGCAGAACAGGCATAGATTAATAGATTCAAGAAGGGAAGGGATCATTGTGATCATCTAATCTGACCTCTCTGGCAGCAAAGTTTCTCCAAAACTGCTGATTTGCCTCATCATAGATCAGGATTTGACAAGTTAGTAATACTCCCATTAAATCCTAGGCCTATCTGGTGATACTGGTAACCTGGGTAACAATTAATGTCCTCTGTGGTGATGTTTTTGTGATTGGGACTGTTGGAGGTTGGCTGTGTGCTCCAGGCAGGCAGTACTGCCTAATGGCAAGAGTCCAAGGGTCAATTTACCTGGCATTTACAGTTCAGGGTAGTGTGGCCCCCCGGTGAAAGTCCAGAGGATGCCTTGCTCAGCAGCTATGATTCAGGATAATGCTGCCCACTTCAAGAGTCTAAAGGATGTTTGGCCTAGTGGCTATAGTTTGGGGGTAGTGTCGCTTACTGGTGAAGGGGGGATAAGGGAACCTGGGTGCACCCTACTCCACTGGGTTTCGACCCAGGGCTCTTCGAAACAGTAACCCTTGCACAGGTCTCAGGGCCCGATACCCCCAAGCGCACTCCCTGGCTTACTTCCTATCCTTGTTCCAGTCCCTCCAATGTCATCCTTGGTTAGACTTGGGGTCCCTCCCGTGTTCCCCTCTGATCCATCTCCAGAGTTTCTTCTGCTGGTCACAGTGAGTTGTCACCCTTAGCTCCCGCTCGACAGGCTTCCAGCAGTAATTGAAAATTACTGAGGCTTGAAAATGAGGAGGCTTGGGTATGAGCCTCGGTCCTGGCGACTTCCCAGCAGGCGGCAGCTGCATATGACTGCTCTCCTCAGTCAGTCCAGACTGAGTGGAGTCCTTCCCTTTTAAATGCTCCCTTCACTGCGAGCATGCCTAGCAGAGGCGAGAGGGTATGGCCTCTTGGGCCCACAGCAGCTCTTTAACCCTTGCCTCACCAATGCGGGGCTGGTATACCCCATCATAGGGACATCTCAGAACTGGACTGAGGCCACCAACTTACTTCAGATACTGGCCAATTCCAAAGATTTGAAGTGTAGTAA